CACTTAAATTCTTATATCTAATCTTTAAAATTCTAAAATTTCTAATTTAGAATTTCTAACAATTCTAAATTCTAAAATTGCACTACGTACAATTTTTGGGGGTCTTTTAATGACCCGGTAATCCCTTTTATAGGGGTGGAATCGGGGCAACTGAATGGAGCTGTGTGTTTACTGGCCAGATGCTCTTCCTGTCACCATTGCAGAGTTTGCAGCATATAATTACTCACTGTGCCCAGAGAGAGAAATATTGATGTGCTAGATACAATTGAGTTGGAGAAATCTCAGAGTTTCCTGCAAGAACAGGGAACTGGAGAACCTTCCATTAAAACTTTTAAAACCTTTACAGGTATGCCATCTACAGCCTCTTGTTATCACAAAAACACAACATAGCAATCAAATGCATGGATTTCAGTTTCAATTTATCTTTCTATACCTTATTTTATTTCTTTAGCAGGACTTTGTTTTAGGCTACTGGAACATCTTAAAGACCAGAATAACCTGAGATAATTTATCAAACTTAAATACATTTAATTAGGAAATGGCTCAGAGCTGGATTTTACCTAATTACAGCAGAGTTTTATTCCCAATGGAAGTTGAGATTAAATTAGAAGATGCACAGGTAAATTAATGCTGATGACACACATATTTCACACAATTTATTTTATTTATAATAGAACACAAAAACATTTGGAGGTCTTAACTCTGAGTTTGCCTAAGCTTTGCACAGACACCAAATATTAAGGAAGAGATGCAAAAAAAATTTCTCTTCCTCGTGTTGTACATTAGTATCCATCTTAGAAGAGAGATGTTGCCAATGCCCTTTTTAATAACAGCAAGAACTAGTTAATGGAAATTGGAGCTCGCTGGACAAATCTAGTCACTTCCATAAACACTATAAGTGCTTCATTTCTAGCATCACAGCATTTCAGTCATGCTATGTTCAGAGCTGATCTATAGGTTGTATTTATTTTTATATCTTTGCCCCACCCTTTTTTCATTTGCAGCTCAAGCTAGTGAACCTACTTAATATAATCTTCCTTCACTTATCCTCCTCCTATTTTTCCCCACAACAACAACCTTGTGAATTGGGCTGAGAGCGTGTGACCGAACCAAAGTCAACTGGCCAGTTTTTCATACTTAAAGCAAGACTATAATTCAGTCTCCTGGTTTCTAGTCTAGGCCAGCACCTCAACCAGGACATCAAATGGCCTTTATAGGCAGTAGTGGGTTTCCAATTTTTTTACTACTGGTTCTGTGGGTGTGGCTTATTTTGTGGGAATGGCTTGGCAGTCATGTGACTGGGTGGGCGTGGCCAATTTAGCCATACATTTTGCCAATAGATGCAGGGCAGGCATCATGTGGCAGCTTAGGCAGGGAAGCCACCTGGGAGGTGAGGAATAACTGGGTGGGGCGGGTGGGTGAGGCATTTGCACTTAAAATGGTCTGCACATGTGCACAACATTAAAAAGGGGAGGGATTAAATTTTTTCAATGAAGATTGTTCTGCTCATGTGCAGAACGGAAAACTAAGATGTCGCTGTGGAGGATAGAACGGTACGGTCAGTGTCTGCTAGAGTTACTACCTATTCGGCAGAACCAGACCAAATAGGTAGGAACCCACCTCTGTTTCTAGGATTGTGATCTCTAGGAATATAGTGTCAAATTATTGTTGATAAAAAAGTAAGCATTCCATTAAAACTCACTGCATTCTGCCTCTTCTACCAAAGTCACATAAATTGGCCAAAGTTTCCATCATCCCAGGAT